AATCAATGCTGTACTGAAGTTTGGCCCTCCAGTGTTTGCAGTTATTTCGGGATTATTTCACTAATTACTGCATAGTTGCCCCAATTTTTAAAAAATTTTCTGTAGTTGTAGATAGACAGAATGCCTTTATTTTATTTGTGTATGGTGCTAAGGATCAAACCCAGTGCCTCATACATGCCAGCAAGTGTTCTGCCACTGAGCTACAGCCTCAGCCCTAATTGCCCCAGTTTTTAGAGGCTATTCTTTTATTTTCAGAGATTTTTCACAATATTCCTCTAACATTTCTCAGGACAACTGTATTTTTTTTTAACCTCTCCCATTTTCCCATGGTCTGTATTAAGAGAAGAGTTTGGAATAAGTGGCAATTACTAGAGAATTTGTTCAGGGAGCCTCCCTACCACAGATTCTGTTGGGATCCCGTGGAATGTACACCTGAAACTTCTACTTTAGCCTAATGGAAATCTACCTATCACACAATGCAACAATTCCTCAAGGATTTTGAACACAAGGATTCCTGATCCTGCCACTAAGTGTGACAATGACTTTATAGTTGAGAAATGGTTTAATAGTTTAACAAACTGAGACAAGAAATCTTGAAAAATCAAGCCAAACAATAAAGTCTCTTCTTTTTAAATTTGTTTTAAAGACTACTAACTGTGAGTAATTCTACCTATCTTGTTTATTACCCTTGACTGTTTTAATCCATTCATTTTCATTTTAATCTCATTTAATTTTATTCATTTTACCATACTTCCAGAGAAAATAAAATCTTTGTAGTTGACATTAAAGCAAATCTGCATTGTCTATGGTTATTTTTAAGTGGTAAGACATTATTATCAAAATCATCATTTTGAACATTGACCACACTATTGAAAGATATGAGAGCATGATCATAATTCAAACTGAAACCTCAAATACCTATCATTTACATATTTTCTTTTTTATGAAATACTGATTACTAGGCAAAAACAGACAAGGAAATGTTTTCTAGGCAAATTCCAGGATGAGTTAGAGGATCACAGCAATGTCTGACCAGCGAGTTTTAAGCCCCTTCCTGAGTTTCAATACTGTGATAATCAATGTCCATTATGAAAACCAAAGATAGTGCAAGGTGGTCTGTGCTTTCTGAATTGCCACTATATTAATAATCACTTTAATTCTAGCTACATTTAATTATTTTCTAATAACTATTAACCAAATCCCAGATAAATGGTTGTTTCTTCTACTAAAGTATAGAGAACTACTTTATAAGTGTAATGAGGTCTATAGAAGTAAAATACTACTGGCATCTAACCTATCATTTACAGGCCAACTCTCAGGCTGCATGTCATCTGTAGGTTTCAGGTAATAAAATTTCACTCATGAATATTCCCAGTAATTATGTGTCAGTGGATTTCTACTTCTCAGTTATCTGCTCTTATGCCTTGGGGCCTAGACTGCCATCTCCTTTCACTCCAAACTTCCTTTTCTCAAGTGGTGCTATATCTTCTAGCTTCATGGTCCATTATCTTCACACTCTGTTGATGAAATCAAGTGGACAACTTGGAGGTATCTGCTGAGCCCTAAGTAGGGCACTGTCATTTGGGAAGGAAATATAGCATGTGATGCACTGAGAATCCCTGAATTCTAATGATGCAATTTAACCCTCAAATTATAATTTTGTTGTGTTTGCTTTTGTTTTCAGATATTATGTTAGACAACCTGAAAGGAAATAAAATCGTATGAATTTCTTCCAAGGTACAGCATGCTCAATGAATGTTTCAAATCATCTGAGCCTGTTTTATTTCTTTTTAGAAGACCACAGACCACAACACATTTTGACATTTCAGTATTTCTTCTTTTTTTTTTTAGATTTGTCAGAAGGTGAGTATACTGTAAATATTTTTATTTTACCTTAGTTTTCCTTATGACTTTATATCTCATAAAGATTTTGGAAAGGGCCCAATTATTCATAGAATCTAAAACTATCTTGCACTATGTTATAGTAGAAAGAGACACACTATTTTATATTTATTGTTTTCAGTGTCTTCAGGCACATAAAAAAATTGCCCTACAAATTTAATATAGCAGAAAGCAGGTAATAGAGAAATTTTTACTTAGAATTTGTTTTAAAAAACTGCATAACTCTTAACTTACCTCAAATATTTATTTAGCATCTACTGTAGCTCAAGTGCCATTATAAATATAAGAAATGTCTTTTGTTACACAAATTAATACTTGTGGGTGGGTTTGCAAATATTTTCTTCAAAATTTATGAATCTTATTTTTTCTTTGTACTTAGGAATTTGGAAATTACCTTTTTTCCAAATAATAATTTTTCTTCTATTTCATTTCTGAAATTTCCCTTTATAATACTATTTTTTTAAGTATTCAACTCAAGGCATGTGCTCAAAATTATGTTCAGCTGTACAGTTTTCTTGAGAGATGCAGGTGGTTTTGAACTGGCAGGATGAGGACAAGGAACACAGCACTTAACTTACACAGCAGGGGAGAGTAAGATGCAAGGAAATTTGTTACCTAACCTAACAGCCATGGTTAAGTAAGCATGTAGAAAAGGTGGCCACGGCTTCTGTAGGAGGCAAGTCAGAGAAGCCTTGAGACTTAGGGTGGAAAAAGAGGATTCATACTGAGAAGGGATCATAGGACTCTGGCACTACCAGAGACGCAGTTGTTTCTCTAATTTCAGGGCAGGGACCAAAACAGTTCTTGTGCACATACTTTAAAGATTAAGATTTACAGAGGCTGCCAAAATGGCAGAACTGCCCATCCAGGAGTCCCTGTCATTTGGTATAAGTGGGCTTGGTATGGGGAACAAGTAGGAAGAGGGAGGGATTTGTTACAAACAAACAAACAAAACAGAAGGTAGAAACAACTGAAATTTAGGCAAGCTGTAAATCACTTGCATGTGATTTAGATGTACTAGTTTCTTGGTATACTACAACTTCTTGTTTATACCTGTTCCTTTCCAATCACAGAAATAGAATTCACAACTATTAGTCTATAGGTCCTGACAGGGTGTTTCTATAGGACATAACTTCTCACATTTTAATTTTAAATTTATAGTATTTTCATATTGATAATTTTGTGGAAATTTAATAAAAATGTCCTACATGTCTATCAATATCCCTCCTGTTGTAGATTTCCAAAGAGAAAAAGTTTGTTTCATTAGAATGTGTCCTTTATAGAAATGCAAGAGATAGACAACTGAAACAGTTCCTTAAGTATACCCAGAATAATCTTCCCATATAGAAGAGAACTATAAGTGACTTTCATCTTAATTATCTGAATAAATCATTATGAATGTTAGTTCACTTATAAAATAAATGAAATAGTTCTGATGTATGTATATGTGTCTTTGAATAAAATCTGCCTCTCTAGGGATATTTGTAACAGACTTTAAGATGTATTTAAATATAAAATTTCCATAGCCATCATATCACTAAAGCTTAATAAATTTCTAAATAAACTTTAATATGGAATATTAGGTTCTTTCTCAAAGTTTTCAGTTTTGCTATGCAATTGTCATTTGCATGACTTCATAATGTATTCAGATGAAGAAAAAAAACACTTCCTAAAGAAAACTTATAGTGTTGGATAGAGTTTCATAGTCCTTTGATGTTTTCCACATGATAAAAGGTGTAGTAAGGTCTAGCCAAAGTAAAGGAAGCTCCATGTCCTTCCAATGGCTAATTTTATCTATGAGTTTCTTAAATTTATGATTCTTCAGATAGTATTTTGTCTCCATATTCACTTTAAAAAATAAGAGTACCTCTCAACTTGGAATTATAGGGGAAAGTAACCAATCAAATGAGAAAACTGTTAAAAATCAGTTTTATTTATTATGTTCTAATATCCCAAGAAATTCAGAAGCCTATCCAGAAATCCATAAGTTCTATAAAATCTCTCACTAATTGTAAAACTCATTACTGTTGCTCCAGATGTAGTTTAAATTAACCAGATGTACCCAAAGTCATTATTCACAAAACTAAAATACACCAACGTTTTAACAGCCATCTTCTTATGATATTTAGCTTGGGAGCATTTCCAGGTTCCATGAAATACACTTATTTAACTTTGAAGTTAATTGAAACTACCTTATCCAAGAGGCTTTTATAATTTCTTGTATCTTACAGCCTGGAAATGAAACCTGATTGAAGAAGTAAAAGTGCCCGTTGCTTTTTCCCCATAATAGCGTAGATGAAATGCAAATATTATTTCTCCTCTACTAAACAGCCAATGAGCTCAAAAAGCCTACCAACTGATACATCCCAACATTTTCCACTTCTTTCTAAAAGATGAAAAATTATATCAGACAGGAAACGTATTCTTCAGATTAGTGACAGGTGTAGAACAAGCACACCAGTCAGCCTTTATTTTCAGTGTCGCTAGGCATGCTCAGCGACAGAGGGTGCAACTCTTCCTTTTCACTGAAGTGACACACATCATATTACACCTTTATCTACACATCACCAAGCAGAAAAGTTCCAAAGCAATAAAACTACCTGCTCTTGCTTGAGCACCGGGCTATTCTTAGAAAATAAGAAATAAAGAATACTAAAGAGAGAGGGTATTGATGACAATTATGATGTTGATTGTCTTAAGTTTAAGAATTCCTTTATAAGGAAGGAGGAAAAGTTGTCTCCTATAATTACTCATTTTCCCAGACCAGTAAATTTATTCAGGAGGTGAAAATTTTGTTTGCTTTATTTAGAAGTTTAGTGATTTAGATTTCTGTGTAATAAGATGGTTCAGGAAACACTTAAAGCTGCAATAGGAAAATGGGTGTTAGTGAACTAAGAGTTTTAAAAGTAAAAATAAAAGGCCTTCTCTCTTCCCAGGGTGCACACCAAAAACTCATTTCTTAGTCCCAGTTTCTCTTTTCTCCTAGCCCAATAAACAAAAAACATCAAACCTGCAAAAATATGACACCACTCTTCAGGATAAATTCTGGAAATTGGGAGGGAAACAGGATCATGCGCAAGTTTGGATTTAAGATTTACCTGCTCTGATCCCAGTTGGCAGCAAAAAGGACTAGAATCTTCCTGCCATAGTGGTCCAGATTGGCTAAGCCCCCAGGGAAGCCATCTTTCAGCGCCTGCTTGATGCCAGGGTCAGTGGCCTTGAAGCTTTTGAACATGTCCAGGTTCTGCTGACGGTACTCAAAGTATTGGGCCAAGAGGCGGAAGGCCTCAAAGTGATGAAACTTCCTCGCCCGCAAGAAGCGTAAGATGAAAGCATCATCAGTGCGCAGGAAGCCAATGTCCGGTCTGGTGATGACCATATCCCTCACCTCCTGGATGTCCTGGTGCAGCGTGTCTGGGTTCTCATTCAGTTCCAGGCGAGCTTTCTCCAGGGTCTCAGGGGAGAGGCCAGCTTGTAAATGAGTCATTGTTCTGTCTTTCCAGAGCCTTTGCTCTGAAGCTCTTGTTGACTGTCCCACAACAAACCTGGCCTTTGCCACTTCCACACTCTGGCCCCAGACCTCGCTGCTGCCTGCTTCTCCTTTCAGGAAAGAATTGATCTTCGTGATTAATCAAGTACCCTGTTGCACTTGCTTTCTAACAGCTTTACTGTGGAGGATATAAACTTTCCCCCTAAACCCCTAAAAACAAGGCCCCGTTTAGTTCCCTCTTTAAAGAAACGTGGACCTCTGGAGGGCCCTGCTCGCTGCTCCTTCTGGTCCTTTCTCTCTCTCTGAATGAAACACCCCTAATCCCACCTAGCACGAGGGGTTCTGATCATGGTGCGGTCCTCTTCTCTTCTCTTCCAAGATGTAATAAAAACAACCCCCACGCACATCTCAGCCCCAGCACTGTGATGTTTCTGCAGTTCCTACTGAAGGATGCGCCTGCCAGGGATAACGAAGGGAATTCTGATTAATAATAAGGTGGTTCTTCAGCGCTGAGATCCAGGGCGGGGAGAGAGTGTCTTTGCCAGAAAGAAAAAGAGAGAAAGAGGGTGGGGGAAAGGAGCTTATTTCCCCCCCTGCTTATTCAAAGATGCTATTTTTAAAAGACATCTTTGTGGGATTTTAATTTTTTTATTATTATTATCATGATGATCCAATTAGGGAACACTGCAGATAGTGCACCTTCCCTCTGCCCCTCTTAGGTATACACCGCGATCTCATGAGGCACCAGGAGAGATTTTGGTGGCGTTGGCACCAGCGTGGGCTCCCCCCACCCCACCCCACCCCCAACTTCTGCCCTCCTCACTCCCTTTATTTTAAAGGACTTGTCGCGGGGATGGGGTGGGGAGGGAAGGTATCTCTCTGGGAAGGTGCGTGTCAAAAACAGGGGGGTGGTGAAGGGAGTTGTGGAAAATGAAATAAAAATGTCTCTATCTTTTCTGTAAACCCCAAAGCAAGAAAGAAGAAAGAGCAGCTGGCTCCTACCAGCAAACCCGGAGGCGGGGACGCTAAGCAATGCGGCACTCCCTGGCATCCATCAGCCCAGGCTTCGGCGGCGGTGGCGGCAGCGGGGGCGACAGCAGCATCAACTCCTCTCGGCGGTATGGAAGGAACAGAGAAGAGGGGCGGAAGCGGGGACCCGGGCCGAAGACTCACTCGGGAGTAGCTGGGGCTGCATCCTCTGAGGGCAACCCGCTGCCTCTCAGCAGGAGGGGTGGGGACGGTAGAGCTAGGGCCACCGCTGTCCCAGGTCCCCGCCCGGCCCTGCCATTTTCGCCTTCGGGAGAGAAGGGAGGGAGGGGACCCGAACGCCTGGATGGAAAAGGCCACGCCGGCGGCCGCTGCCTTTGTGCACCCAGAGCCGCCGGGGCGGTGGGCGCGGCACCCGCCTCTCCCTGCGCGCTCCGAGTGACCAGAGTCCGGTGCACCCCTCCGGGTTGCTGCTGCGGCTCCGGCTGCTGCTGCTAAAAGAGGACTCAGCTCAGCTCAACTCCTCTCTAATTATCCCAGCACAGATCTCGCTGCGACGTAAGCACTCAGCTCGCGCACGCACTCAGCTCTTCTCTCCCTGCCTCTTTGGGAAGGATGGCAATTTTTGTGGCATTCAAATATCCCAAGCCCCAAGTTTATCTTGCTTCAGGTCCCCACTCCCCAGCAGACTGCTGGGGCGGGTTTTGCCTGGCGAGGCGAGGTAGGGACGCCTTCCAGCCTCCCCACGCCCCTCTTTCATCCTTTGTGTGCAAGACCCCAGAGTGTCAGGGCGAGTAGCTCCTGTAGATGGTAATCCACATTGACACACATTTTCTAGTTCCTCTAGGAGGTAATTTTGATGAGGAAGGAGTACAGAAACATTTTGTACTTTCTGCCTTCGTTGTAAACAGAGACGTTTAATTTAGTAAAGAAGATTTCAACTCATTGTGTTGATGATTAAACCTCTGGAGAACTTACATAAAGTTTTTCAACCATAAACTCTTCTCTGTTAAATTCCTATTGAAAAAGATGAAAATGAGAACCGGGACCAGAAAAAAAAAATAATAACACAATTGTCAACGAAGGAAAACATAGGCATTTAACTCATTTCTGATCTCATAAAGGCAAATATTTCTAGAGCCATAATCTTCCCTTCAGTTTTATGCATCTGTATATCAGAATCACCCTAAATGAAGAGTCTTTGTGTGTAAGGTGGCTGTAAATGAGTTTGAGAAAAAGAAATTTTTTTTCAAAGTACAGTATATATACTGTCACTAAGCCTAACTCTGGCTTTGCAAATAGTAGGATGGGATCATGAGTTTAAGTTAGCTCCATGCAAAAATATTTAATTAGCACCTCTACATATGGGGCATTATTCTAGAGTATATGGATTGGAAGTGGTATTGAAGATTTTTTTAAAATTGCATTATTTGTCAACTATTAGAACCTTCAACTTAGACATACTTGTTTTATTGCTATTTTCCTGAAGATGCTATAGACAAAAAGAAAAAAAAAACTTGTATGGCAGACATAACATTTCATTAATTAAACTCATGCAAAGTGATGTAGGGATCAGAATAAGAGAATAAATTACACACGTATACTAACATGCTCATTACTCATAAGGAATTTGTAGTTGGTTGAGTTTAGTTTTATTTTGTTTTTGAACCAGGGACTGAATCCAGGGACATTTTACCACTGAATCACATCCCCAGTCCTTTTTATTTTATTTATTTATTTATTTTAATTTTTAGACACTAGGTTGCTTGAAACCTTGGTAAATTGCTGAGGCTGTTCTCCAACTTGTGATCCTCCTGCCTCATCCTTCACAGTCACTGGGATTACAGGCGTGTGCCACCATGCCCAGCAGAATTTATGTTTTAAGTAGTGGTGAAAAATAAACCATATAGATATGTGTGTACATTATATATAAATGCATGTGTTGTGTGTGTGTATACACACACACACTATATAGGTGTCTCTGAGAATCTATCCCAGATTGGTTCCAGGACCCCCTGGGCTAACAAAATCTACAAATGCTCAAGTCCCTTATATAAAATGGGCTAGTATCTGCACATAATCTAAGTTCAATCTCCCATATACTTTAAATCATCTCTAGGACTCTTAGAACACCTTACACAATGTAAAGATATGTAAATAGATTTTAGACAATGTTTTCAGGGAATCATGACAAAGAAAAATTTCTGTACATGTCCAGTTCAAGTGGAATTTTTCTCCAAATATTTTTGTTCCTTAGTCCTTAGTTTGTTGAATCCAAAAATACAGAATGCATGGATTCAAAGTATATATATATATATATATATATATATATATATATATATATATAAATAAATAAAATAATGCCCCACATGTAGTGGTGCTAATTAAATATATAATTCTGGCTTTGCAAATAGTAGGATATATATAAATAGTTTTATATATGTATATATAAAGAGAGAGAATATGGATTGGAAGTGGTATCGAAGATTATATATATATATATATTTTTTTGTTTTGTTTTGTTTTGTTTTGTTTTTTTTCTCCTGCTAGGACTTTATATGGTTATGACCCTCATAAGCATTCTGAATGCAACATGAACCATAAAATAATCTGGTTCTCATTTCAAAAAAGTTTGAAGAATCATTTTGGCCAATATGTTAAAAAGAAAATTTCTATCTTATATCAACTCTATGAAGAGGCTATCACCAATAATGAGAGACAATTCTCCATTTTGTTTCTGCAGGTCTACTAAGTTTTCTTTTTTCCAGATTATCTTTTCAAGGATATCTGCATAATGAATAGCCTTGGAAGAGCCTTGAAAGATAGAGATAATAGTACCTCCATCCAGAATGAAGAGAGAGTTTATTTATAGCATTTGAAGAGGGATGTTTTCCTACTGAACAAAAGGCAAGCAGGTATATTTGAATCCCTGAACTTAGAATTACTCCACTGTAACACCAACATTATGTGTACAAGTGAATCACATGATTCTCTTCTCTTAGCCTTGTGGAATTGGAGCTGAGAGGCCAGTGCACAAAACGTTGATGCTGTTATTTCCTGCAGCACCTGAGTGAGAAAGTCCTTTATCTCTGACCCAGGAGTTTGACATATTCTACAAGCATCCATGAAACTACAGCTTGTATGTAAGATTAAAACTCAGATCCTTCACTGTATTTAAAAACTATTGCTTAAATTTGTTTTCTGATATGGAACAATTAGACTATATTTTTTAGAGGAATTTACAAGATAAATTAAATTTGTTGGTCCATGATATGATGTAACTGCATTTAGTAACAATATGTTTATTATATCTTGCTAACAATAGAATTGCTTCAAATAAGCTTATTTTAATATATCAATATATGATATAATAGTCTCTGTCCTGCAATGGGATTTTTAGAATAGAGCAGATAGGTAGATATATAAAAAAAAAACCTTTTTATGACATTTGCAAACTATTAGTCTCTTTTTCCAATATTATACTATTATCTTTACTAGTACTTTTGAAATTAGTTTTGGAACCAAAATAAACACAAAGTCATCTATGAATTAAACAAGGTATTTATCCAGAGGACATCAGTGCATTTGATTCCATTAAATATTAATTTACCTTGTTAAATGAATGCAAAGTAGTGTAAGAACTAGAATATGAGAATAAATTAACTAAACAAAAGGATTAATTAAAGCATTATTGGAAAATAATTAAATCAAGAACTTCAGGTGTTTTCAAGCAACTGGAAAGAAAAGTCTGCTGAATTTAAAATGGATAGAGTAAGTAGTTGGTGTTTTAAAATATTTTATTGGATTTATTGTATAGAAAGAGGCACAATGAAAAGACGCACAGTTCGATTACATACTCTAAAGTAAACACTTGTTTAAATATTTATCCAAGATAGAGAATAGAACCTTGGCAAGAAAGAGAAAGCCCCCATTGCTATCTCTTCCTGACTATTGGCCACGTCTTTCCAATAAGTGAAGTCACATTATCTTCCTTTTGAAATTAATTCTTGTTTTTATTTAAATTTTATAAGCTAAGTAACCAGTGTAGTTTTTCCAATTTTTGTACATAAATCAATATCTCTATGTAATTTTTTGATTGGCCTTTTTCCTTCAATAATACGTGAGATTAATCCATGTTGCTACTTGTAGTTAGTTAATTCTAATTTAGTGATGATGCATGTTATGCAATCTATGCACATACTAGAATATATTTTTCCTCAGATGAAGATTTGATATTTATAAAATTTGGGCTGTTATTATTCATGATGTATGAACAGTCTTATATGCATCTCAGTGCACAAAGACTTACTTAGGAATGAAAATTGCTGGATCATATGGCATAAGCATCTTTAAATTTAGTAAACAATGCTAAGCTATTTTCCAAATGGCTGTACTATTTCACTCTCCCACCCCCACAGCAGATTTTGAGTTTTCACTGTACCACATTGTCATTATTTTGCATTACTATCTATAATTTAAAAATTTAGGGCTGGGGTTGTGGCTCAGTGGTAAAGTGCATGCCTAGCATGTGTAAGGCATTGGGTTCGATCCTCAGCACCACATAAAAATAAATAAATAAAATAAAGTTATTGCGTCCATTTACAACTAGAAATATTTTTTTAAATTTATCCATCTGATTTCAATTAAGGATATTGCATTATGGTTTTAGTATCTATCTGTTTCCATGATTAGTATGAGGTTAAACAAGTTGTTGTGTTTTGGAGAGGCACTTGTATACCTTTTGTGGGAAGTGTCATTTCAAAGCCTTTGCTCATATTTAAAGGGGGTTATTGTTTTGTTATTGTCTTGTAGGAAGTATTTGTTGTTGTGTGTACGTTTTTTATAGATTCTGCATCTATCTTTGTCAGTGGCATATGTTGCAAATGACTTTCCCAGTCTTTTCTCTTGCCTTTTCACTCTCTTTACTGTGTCTTTTTTAAACAGAATTGTAAATTTTAATTAAGTTCAAATTTTCCTCTATGAATGGTGCTTTGGGGGGTTCCTGTTTAAAAATCTCTAGTTACTCTGATATCCTTCAGTACACCGTTGAGAAGACTTATGGTTTTTCTTTTTACATATAGAATTGCAGAAAATCTAGAACTGTCTTTTCTGCACAACGTGAGAAATGCATCAAGTTTATTTTTCTCTATGAATATAGAATTCACTTAGCATATTTATGGAGGCAACTTATTAAAAAGACCCACCTTTTGTTTTTCAACTGGAAAGATGGACAATCATTTCATAAAATAAATCACCATAGATACATGGATTTTAATTCAATATAAATTTTAAACTCTACATCATTTTATATATCCTATAATCTTCAGTGATTCTCTAAGCATGGGCCACAAGCCAACAGTACCAATAACACTTGTTAACTTGTTAGAAATGCAAATTCTCTTGGTTGACTTATTGAATCAGAAATCCTTACAAAGATGTAGGAACTAAAAACATTTTCTGTCCAGACCAGACCTTTGAGTAATTCTATTTTGCCCTTAAGCTTGAGATAATTGCTCTAGATTTACCCACATATTTATATTGTACATGGATCCTTATTCCTTCTTATATCTCTGAGTTTTCATATAGAATTGTTATTCATTTATTTGAAGAACACTTTTTAATTTGTACTTCAGTCCAGATCTTAGAGTTATAATTTTTTTGTTTTGTTTACTGAGATTCACTTTGTTTTACTTTCATTCTCAAAGAACATGTCTGCCAAGTATAAACAGAGATTTTATAGATTAGCAGCTATTTTCTTTTAACACTTTAAAAATTTTGTTCCATTTTTTTCTGGTTTTTCTTATTTCTGCTTCAAACTGTCAGTCTTTTCATTGTTCCTTTGAAACTAATCTCTGTCTTTCTCTAGATGACTTTATCTTCTCTATTTTCCAGAAGTCTTCACTAATTTTTTTCTTACTTTCCTCTTACTATTACTTTATTCTTCTATTAATTTATACATTTTTAAAATTCTGGTTGGGTCGTATACTATGAATCCTAGCCCCTATTCTAATGACTTTTATTTGTTTTGGAATCATCTAAGTCGTAATATCATCAAATATTCATTCTGTTCCATTTTCTTTCTCCTCTGCTTCTGGAATTCCAGTCATATAGAATTTATATCTCCTTACTGTGTTCTCTGCACATCTTACAGAGCATTTCCATCATTTTTCTTTCTTTTATTTTCAATATTTTATATCTAATGTGCTTTCAGTTTATTGAACCTCTCTTCAGCCTTTTCTAATCTGTGTTCTACCTCTTTGCTATCATTTCATTACATTCTTAATATTAATTATATTTTTATTTTTTTAGTATTTCAACTGGATATGTAGAGACATGTCAATTATGTTGTAATTGTTAATCTTAGTTTTTTTTATTATCTTCATAAAAAATTTGGTGATTTTCAAGTCCTTATTTATACCAACATTTGGGTTCCCAATGTATCTACCATATTTTTTATTGTTTTGTCTATTGCTTCTGCTTTTCATGAGCATTATATTATCTCCTTGAGTGTCTAGATATTTTTTATTGCAATGATGTGTCACTTACTGGCACGGATACTTTCTGAGAAATGTCTTGTTAGCTTATTCATCATTGTGCAAACATTATAAACAAACCTAGATGGTACAGACTACTACACACATAAGTTATCCAGAATAGCCTATTACTCCTAGGCTACTCACCTGTACATCCTGTTACTGCGCAGCACAGCCAATTATAACATAATGGTATATATTTTTGTATCAAACAGTAAAAAGTTACATAAAAAACAGTATATATGGTTATATAAGATAAAAAGCCTTCTATCTGCATAAAGCACTAACCATGAATGAAGTTTGCAGAACTGAAAGATGCGATGGGTGGCTCTTTTGAAAACCTTTTAATTTTCAATTTTTTTTTTTACTTTTTTGTAATAACACTTAGCTTAAAACACAAATTTTACCGTTATATAGAATCTTTTGTTTGTATTCATATTCTTTGAGCCCCTTTCTGCTTAATTTTTGGTTTTACATTTAAAATTTTTTGTAAAAAAAATAAGACACAAGTAAACACATTAACCAGGGCCTACACAGAATCAACACCATCAATATCGTTGTCTTTCACATTTACATCTCATTCTGCTGGAAAGCCTTTGAGGGACATAACATGTATGGAGCTATCATCTCTTAGGATAACAATGTCCTTTTCTGGAAACCCTCCTGAAAGACATGTCGAGGTTGTTTTACAGTTAACTCGTGTGTGTGTGTGTGTGTGTGTGTGTAGATAGATAGATACAGATATATAAAAAGATGACAACACACCAAAATAAAGTTTTAAGTATAGTGTATTAAATATAGGAAATAGTCACATGGCTTTTTATTATCATTATTGAGTGCACAGTATGTAATTGTATATGCTTTGCCTTTGTATGAATGACAGTAGAGTAGATTTGTTTATATCATCATCACCCCAAATTATATAGGACTGTGATATTACAATGGATACAACATCATCCCCAGTGATAGAAATTTTTCAGGTCAATTATAAGCTTATGGAACTGCAGTCATATATGAAGCCCATTACTGACTGAAATATCATGTGGTATGTGACTATTATTACATTTGTCCTTGCTTTTGCAAAACTATTTATAGGCATATATTGAAACCTTGGATAATTTTATCTACCTCCAAAGAGTTTTTATATTGGATTTTATCAGTCATCTGGGAACACTACCATTCATGGACAATTGGGCACTAGATTTCCTGATGAATTTAACCCACTTTCAATAATGAAATTATTTAGAATTGAACTGCAATCTCATTGAGGGTAAATATATTTCTTGCAGAGGACTGTTTATGTCTCCCTAAAGCTCATACATTGAAACTTTGTTCTTAATGTGATAGTATTTGGGTTAGGGCTTTTGGCAGGCAGATATTTAGGACATGAAGGCAAAGCCTTCATGAATGGGATTAATTCCCTTGTAAAAAATACCTCTGAGAGCATGTGTATGCCTTCAGTCATATGTAATTACAGCAAGAAGATGGCCATCTGTGAACCAGGAACAGGTCCTCACCAGCCACTGAATTTCCTAGAGCCTTGACCTTAGACAATCCAGGCTACAGAACTGTGAGAAATAAAATTTTGTTGTTTATGAGTCAACCAGTTTATGTTTTGTTTGTTTTAGCAACCAGAATGAATGAAGATACTTCTAATACACTTTATTTCAAATACTGTCCCTTAATGGACCACTTTATTTCTACACCTATCCCATAGATCTTCAAAGATGTTAAAAATCATGGTCAGCTTCTCAAACTGTAAGCTGCTCTTTTCCAATCATAAAATACCTCTAGGAAAAAGTAGTCCCCAATTCTGGATTTACCTCCTCCAACCTTTCTCTGATTCTGTCTTCTTGGCTTTCCGATAGCTTCAGGTTGGGTTTTCTTTTATTTATTGTCACTTCTAAATATCTTCAGCAGAAAGGTTGATCTCCAAAATATTTAAACTGAATTTCTTTCTTAATACACTGTGGAATAATTTAAACACGTTTCCATATTTTATTGCTGATAGACATTTTTAATGTCAGAGATCATAATTTTATGTCTACATCTACATCCTTATATGTAATTAAAAGATATACACAAACTGTTTTGCCAGAAGAAATAATGTCTGCATTATACTCACTACTAGTAGCTCACATGTTCATAACAACAACAAAACAACAGAAAGCCCACAAAATTTTGATTTAAGCATTTAAAATATATTTCTAGATATTTCCTTCATTATTTCTCAAATGTTCATTTATTTCATTACCTGCAAGTTATCACTTACAGACAAGTTATAGTCGATCCTAAAAGTATAAGAAAAAGCTTTTAGTTTTAACATTTAATTTGGTTAAAATTTAAAATTGGGACTTTTCTTTAGCTTTTTATTTTGAGATAATTGTAGATCCATATTTTTAATTTTATAAAATAATGGAGAAACTTTCCATGTATAATTAGCCAATGTTCCCTCAGTGGCAGCATCTTACAGATCTATAATAGCGTCACAATCAAGATGTTGACTCGATACAGTCAGTAGTCAGAGCATTAAAATCAATGCAAGGATCCTTCATGTTACCTTTTATAGCAATGCCACATCCTTCTTCTAAGCGCTATTTAACCTCAGACCTCAAAAGACCAGTGCTCCTAATCTATATAAATGCACCAAAAACTGTAGAGTCATCTTTCTGCAATTAGGTTTCTCACTAGCAAGCAGCCTCCCAAACACGAAGGAATATTAAGAACATTAAAATTAAAACTTGGCAATCTTCAGTTTCATAATAATTCACAATGTCTATTGTGACTGTTGTAGTTAATATAAAAAATTCTTTTTCTCTTGATATTTACTCATTTTTTTTTCATATCTACCTCCTACTAAAGATAAAAATCAAAACAAGGGTATTGCCCTCATTTTATAATG